CATACACACATACAAACATACATACAAACTAAAAACATACATACGCGCACAAGCATACATACATACATACGTACCTACACACAGGCACACATGATCAATGCATGCATACATGCATGCACGCGTACATACACACACATATATCGTGAAACTCACCGCGTGCTCGAAACTTGAGAGAGACCGCGGGAAGTCGAGAGAAGCCGCGGAACGAGGCCTCTACTACTACTACCACTACTACCACAACCACTACTACTACTACTACTACCACTACTACTACTACTACTACTACTACTACTACTACTACTACTAATACTACTACTAGTACTACAGGTGCGTTTCCCAACTAGTATGTGTGTGTGGGTGATGCTGTGTGCGCATGTCTGCGGCGCAGGTTAAGTGGTGTGACTGTGTGTGTGCGTTTGAGTGTGCGCCCATAATTTCTGCGTCTGGAGAATAACCCCGAGCGACCCGGATCGGCGGCACTGGCCGAAGGCCACTACAATATAGTAAAAGTAATAGCGTCGGTAGTGGTCAGTGTAGTGGTAGTAGTAATGGGCGACCAATAAACCGATAAACCGATAAAGATATTCGAAACATCACGGCTTAATTGCTCGTCGTAAACGCACGCTGAAATAATCATCCGTGCTCATTATGCTGTCAGCCGGGCGTGGTAAGCGAAAAGCTGACGAAGCGCAGAACATAATGCCGAATTGAACGAAAAGCTGACGGAACGCCGAACATCATGCCAAGTGCGGCCGATAAACCAATAAACCGATAAACGCCTAATAGTAGCATTAGTAGTCGTCGTCGTAGTTGTAGTAGTAACATAATAATGGCAACTCACTCATGCTCATTCTGCTGTCAGCCAGGGGAACAATACTAGTAGTAGTAGTGGTAGTAGTAGTAGTGGTAGTAGTAGTGGTAGTAGTAGTAGTAGTAGTAGTAGTAGTAGTAGTAGTAGAAGAAGTAATAGTAGTAGTAAGGGTAGTAGTCGTAGTCGTAGTCGTAGTCGTAGTCGTAGTCGTAGTCGTAGTAGTAGTAGTAGCAGTAGTAGTAGTAGTAGTAATAGTAGTAGTCGTAGTTGTAGTAGTTGTAGTAGTAGTAGTATATTGATAGTAGTAGGATCGGTAGTGGTCAGTGCAGTGGTAGTAATAGTGGGCGACAGACAAACCGATAAAGATACGCGAAACATCATGGCTTAATTACTTATTCGTCGCAAACGCACGCTGGAATATTCAACCGTGCTCATTCTGCTGCCAGCCGGGGGAACAATAGTAAAAGTAGTAGTAGTAGTAGTAGTAGTAGTAGTAGTAGTAGTAGTAGTAGTAGTAGTAGTTGTAGTAGTAGTATATTTATAGTAGTAAGATCGGTAGTGGTCAGTGTAGTGGTAGTAGTAGTGGGCGACCGATAAACCGATAAAGATATGCGAAACATCACGGCTTAATTACTTACTCGTCGCAAACGCACGCTGGAATATTCACCCGTGCCCATTTTACTGTCAGCCGGGCGAACAATTAGTAGTAGTAGTACCTTTAGTAGTACTAGTAGGAGTAGTAGTAGTAGTAGTAGTAGTAGTAGTAGTAGTAGTAGTAGTAGTAGTAGTAGTAGTAGTATAGCGATACTTGTAGCGGCGGTAGTGGTCAGAGTAGCGGTAGTAGTAGTAGTAGTAGTAGTAGTAGTAGTAGTGGTAGTAGTAGTAGTAATAGTAGTGGTGGTAGTAGTGGTAGTAGTAGTAGTAGTAGTAGTAGCAGTAGTAGTAGTAGTAGTAGTAGTAGTAGTAGTAGTAGTGGGCAACCGATAAACCAATAAACCGATAAAAATATGCGAATCATCACGGCTTAATTACTTACTCGTCGTAAACGCACTCTGAAATAGTCACCCGTGCTCGTTCTGCTGTCAGCCGGGCGTGGTAGGCGAAAAGCTGACAAAGCGCAGAACATAATGCCAAATTGAGCGAAAAGCTGACGGAGCGCCGAACAGAATGCCAAATGCGGCCGATAAGCCACTAAACCGATAAACGCCTATTAGTAGCATTCGTAGTCGTAGTAGTTATAGTAGTAGTATAGAAATTGATAGAAGCATCGGTAGTGGTTAGTGTAATGGTAGTAGTAGTAATAATAATGTGCGACCGATAAACCGATAAACCGATAAACGTCTCCCGAACCGAGAATTCAGCGCGGAGGCACGGGGCGGGTTTCGCGGTTTACCGGTTCACATGATTGTCGACCGATAAACCGATAAACCGGTAAACGTCTTCCGCACTGGGAGTCCATCGCGGAGGCACGGGGCGGGTTTCGTGATTTACCGGTTCATATGATTGTCGACCGATACACCGACAAACCGAGAAACATCCCCCGAGCTGGAAATCCATCGCAGGATCACGGGGCGGATTTATCGGTTGATCGGTTAATCGACCGATAAACCGATATAATGATTTCGGTTTATCGGTGGATTAACCGATCAACCGATCAACCGATCGACTTGATCGGTTTACCGGTTGATCGTTTTTTTTAGGCTCTGCGACTGCAATCTATACAGATATACATATATTCGACGGAAGGTGGGGCTTCTTGACTGCTTCTTGCGGTTACTTGCTGCTGGGTGCCAACTGTTTACCTACCCCTTTGGGGCGCGCCAAGCCGACGCCCGCCGCCTGGGCCCCGCGCCGACGGCCCGGTGCCGGAGCAGACGCGGCGCCTCCGACGAGGCGCCGATCCTCTGCTCCGACGGGGCGGCCAGCTTGCCAGGCCCCCGCTGCTTCGGACAGCGTGGCTGCGGGGAAACTTGGTGGGGGACCGGCTCGGGAGGGGACACATCGATTCGGCGATACATCGGCCCCCGATAGCGGATCCGCACGCTCCTGGGCGTTTTGGGGTCGTCGGGCCCCGCATCGGCGCTGAATGGGCGATTGGGGGTCGATGCTTCCTCCCCCTGTGCCTACCCCCCCTCTTGACGTTGCCCCTGACCTTCCGCTCCGCGGTTTTCCAGCCATAACTCCAGTCTCCGCTGGCCGTTCGGGACGATTCTGGCACCCAAGAACGACGAGGCGCAGCTGATGGAAACCACCCTGGGCTTCGAAAACTGGAGAACTCGAGAAAAACGGCGCCAAGCTCCGAAAACTCCCCGAAGCGCGACACTCCAGGAAACATCCTCCCCCCAAGCCGCGCCCGTGCTCCATCCTCCCCCTCCAATCGGCCCTGATTAATAGGTCGACCCTACCAAATCAAGGGTATCCGTGTGTGCGACCCATGCGGCCCTCGGAAGGGGATTGTGTCCTCTCGCGTGTCCTGGCATCGGCCCAAGAATGTCGAATTAAGTACGAAGCTCGATGACGAGGCTCCCCAGATACGCGACCCCTGATTCAGCGTTCAATAGTCCAGGGTCCCCGGCGAGGGCCCCCAGGAGGCAAAGAACTGCCCCCCCCTCGTGATTCGTGTACCGGATCGACGATGTCCGGGGTCCCACAAGGGGCCCCCCAAAGCGCCGAAGAGCTTCGAAGCTCGAAGCTCCTGCAGAGCTGCTTTACCCCAAGACTGAAGTCCCCGTCGATCCTGCAGCAGAGGCGCAGAATCTTCGCAGATCTACGAGTTCGACAGCAAAACCAAAAAGCTGGGGCAGATCAGCTCTGCAGGCGATCTCCTGCTCGGGCCGAGTTTCGGCACGAGCGAAATGGGTACGGAAAGAATGGGTACGATACCCAACAGCAGTTCTTGTTCATTTTGAACAGGACTCGCTGTCCGCGCCGCCGCGGCCTCTGTCCATTTGAAACAGAAGGCCGCCTGCCCAACAGCGGCCGCTGTTGGTTTGGGACAACACTTGTTGTTGGGCATTGTACCCGTTTTTTCCGTGCCCGTTTCGGGCGTCCAAAGAGCTCCCAGGCCGCCCTCTGGAGCGCGCACTTCTGGCGCGCCCCCCAGTCCCCGCCGCACGGCGTGCCCGGCCGCGCCCCGCGGCCTGGGAGGCCGGGCCGCGCGGGCCTCGCGCCGCGAGGAGCGGCTGGGACGAAAGAGGGCCGCGAGGCCTCGCATCCCCCCATCTGCAGGGCGAGGGGGGAAGGGGGAGGGGGAAGGGCGAGGGGGAAGGAGGAGGAGCGGGAGCGGGGGGAAGAGGGGAGGCATGGGGGCGAGGACGAGGAAGCGGGAGGGAGCCAAGGCGGAGGAAAGCCAGGTGAAGGGCGGGGGGAGAGGAACGGCAACAGGAGTAGGGGAGAGGGGGGGAGGGAGGAGCTCCGCCCAGACAGACGCTGCGAGTCTGGCTGCGATCATCCGATTGTAGTCCGCGCAGCGTAGATACCTCCGCCCAGGGGCCGAGAGTTGGAGGCTCGGAAACGGGCACCAACACTAACTCAGGGGGTGGGCTCCAGCAGGGGAAGACGATCCTGGATTATGGCGTTGGTCGTTGGCGGTAATCTTTCGGCCACCCAGGACGCCCAAATCTTACCCCCACCACCACTAACACCACCGAGATCTGGATAATCTTCCCTCGGTGGAGGCACACGGCTTATATTGGTGTTGGTGCCACCCTCTAGGAATCCGAGGACAGCAAAGGGCCCAGATCTTCGCTGATCTGGTTTGTCTTGGATGTATATTTGGCTCTTGCAGGCTTTCACGCCTCAAGATGCTGTCCAGCCTCTCCGCCTCCCCGTGAGCGTTGTGGGGGTACCCGAAGCGCCCCGAACGGCCGCGGGAGGCCCAAGATACGCCACGAAAACCAAGCCTCCGACGGTCTGATCATTCAATCCCAGTGTACGTCCTCGATTTCGGCTTCTGGGGCCCGTCATCAGCCATCGAAAATGGATGCGGGACGAAACGTTGCCCCCGGAAGGGGTCTGGACACCCCTGGGGCCGCATGGGATGGTCGTGTGTCTGGGGGGGAGGGGTCTGGGACCAGATTTTGAAAAAGTTCGCCCTCATGAGAGAGGGGGGGTGCATGGGGGAGTCCTCTCGCCCGACCCGAGAGGAGGAGCAACGAGGTCCCTCCCTGCATTGGATCCCGCAGTCCGCCTTGTGCCAGGTGGGCCCCTCCTGCACGCCCCCGGCCCCGGTCGACCCGCCCGTGTCGAGGATGTGCATGTCGGCCACCTGCAGGCCAGGCTCTGGAAAAAGAGCCACACGAGCACCCAAACGCCAGGACATCACAAACGCGCAAGCGCGTGCTCGAGCTGACGCTCGCGCTGGCGCATTGTTTTTTTCCTTCACAACCACCCTCACAACTGCTTGATTCCGCTCTGCTCTGGGCCGACGTCGCGCCTCGCTTTTCAGCAAGCATTGCTGTCTTTGCGCCCCTTGTTGAAGAGAGGAGGCAAGGAATACCGGGAAGGGACATCAATATTCCCCGAGCAGTGCTTGCGCTTAGGGGTTCTCGTTCATCTTCCTTCAATAATTGGATGCGTGTGCTGGGTTTTCGGCTGGTGCCCGGCTGGTGCCAGCCCCAGCTCCAGCTCCAGCCCGAGCTCCAGCTCAAACAACAGCCTCAGTTCCAGATTCAACTTCGCTCCAGATCCAGCTCCAGCTCCAGCGGCAGCACCAGCTCTAGACCCCAGGTCCAGAAGGTCCAGGGGCGGACGTCCAGGACGTCCAGGAGATCCAGCCACAGCCCGAGCTCCAGCCTCGCTCCAGATCGAGCTCCAGACCAGTTCCAGCTCCAGCTTCGCTCCAGCTCTAGCCCCAGCTCCAGGCCTAGTCCAAATCCAGCTACAGCTGCAGCTTCAGCCCAGGTCCAGCGACAGCTCCAGCCGCAGCTCGAAAGGTCCAGCTTCAGCCCGAAGCTCGAGCTTCAGCTCCGACCTAAGCTCCAGCTCAAATTGCACAGCTCCAAGTTCGCTCCAGCTCCAGCCCCAGCTCCGGACCCAATTTCAGGTCCAAATCAAGCTTCCTGCACAATTTCAGCCCTGCTGCGGCTCCAGCCCGAGTTCAGCTCCAGTGCTGGCGCTTGGTCTAGGTTGTACCTATTGTCATTCGTATTGCATGTCCTAGCATGCTTAACTCAGACGCTGTTTGGATAGCCCAAACTAGATTGAGTGATCACGATTGTAACTAAGTTGCATACAAGCCATGTTGACATGTTCCAGGTCATAGCACTGCACAACAACACTTGCCAACACTTACTTTGAGTAGAGCGCAGCGTGTCTTACCCGAAAACGATTCCCCATCTACGCGTCCGCACATTGGCCTACTGACTGACCAAGGCAATCCCCAAAGCCCACAATTAGGATTCTTCCTGGGATCATCATCTGGCGCGGAATGACACCCTGCATCGATGCATGTGCCTGGCGCTTAGGCCGAAACTGCCTGCTTGCTGCAATTTTCGCAACTCCCCTGTGAACCACCCCTTGGTTGGAAAACAACACACAAACACAGAACCGATACCTCTCCTGCCCGCGGTGGGCGTTCCTGCCAAGATCCAGAGGGCGAGTCCAGCAGTGACGATGAGGCTCCCGCTAAGGAGGCCAGCGAAGGAAGGGCATCAGTGCTGGCATGGCTCCAATGCTGTGAGCCAGCCGCCTAACCTCTAGTGGAGGAGGAGGACGAGGAGGATGGAAGAATGAAGTAGGAGGAGGAGAAGCAGCAGGAAGAGGGGAGGAGGAGGGATGATGCTGACGAAGGAAAAGGCAAGAGGATGGAGCCGAATGCGGAGATAAGGAGTTTTATGCTGTTAGCCATTTCCACATAATCTCCCGAAAGGACTGACAAGCAATAGCACTAGTGTTTAGTTTCGACGGGCACGCGGGGCACCAACAGTGCTCGCACACAACGGCTGCACAGACATAGCACACCAGATCCTGCCCCTTCTCTTCTTTGCCTGCCCGAGAGGAAGGAGCCAGAGGGATGCGGTAGCCAATGGAACGCACGCGAAGGGGCATGGTGTCGCCACCCACTTGTTGCCGTCGTGGCCTCCGTGCACCACCAGTCTCAGGTCAACCACCTGCAAGGGGCGAAGAAGGTAGACGCGTCACGCCCGACCCGACCAGACGGATAGAAAGACAGACAGACAGACAGACAGACAGGCAGGCGGGAATGCAGACAGACAGACAGAGCCGCCCAGAGACGGCTGGGTCGGACTGGGGCCTCCCCGGGGCTCCCCTGGGCCCCCCTGGGCTCCCCCCCCCCCCCAGTTTCTCAGCAGGTACCACGCATCGGCCCCGGACGGACCAACTCGGCTTCCAGACGGCCCACAACGAAACCCCCAAGACACGGGGACGGACGAAACCCCCTTTAGCAAAACGTGGTTTAGTGAAAACAACCTCGGGCCCAAACCTGGCGGGCGCAAGCTTGGAAAATGACGGCCGCGGCGCCCTCTCGAACCGAAAACGGACAATTCGCTAATCGACGTGTCAGGGTTGGGGTTCTCTCCAACCCCGAACCACGGGCACACAGACGGGAGCGAGACAAAGGCACGAGCGACGGCGCGGGCCACTGGCACGCGCGCTGCTGTCCGACCCATGCCCTCCGGGTCGCACGTTCGTCCCGGATCTGCTTTTGACGATCCCGGGGCCCGACGAGGGGCCCCAAATGCCGAGATCGAGGAGAAGCCGCCGGTCAGGCCCTGCCTCGTCAGTGCGCCGCCAGGACGGCGTCGGCCGCTGCGCGAGGGCTTCGGCCGCTGCACTCACCAGAGGGACCACTGCCGCCAGCAACTGTCTTCCAGGGCGCGGCGGTGGAGATGCGCGACAACGCAGCCGCACACCCCGCGCACGAGGTCATCTCTCCGAGCTGAGGGGGTTTCCTGTTCGGGACGGCGCGCGGCGATGCAATCCAAATGCCATCCTGGGCCGCACGACGTCGCGCTCTCGCGCTGCTCGCGCTGCTCCCAACTCGCTGTTATATATATATATATATATATATATATTTATTTATTTATTTGCGCGCTCCCAGAAGGCCCCTGGAGACAAACGACCCGCGCGATCGCGCGCCTGCGGTTGACCTGTCGGCCCTCCCGGGACCAGCAGCGGTCTGTGGGCCCTCCTGGCTTGGCCAGGGACGCGTATGCACCGCTCTTGGACCCAGGATGGGCCTGGCCAGGGGCAATTGATGCGTAGATCTCGTCGCCTCAATCTGCGATACCCGCGTGATTACATCCGTCAGGCCAACATGTCGAAGACCCCCCTAGGCTAACTGACTTACTGTGCCGCGATCCTTCGTGCGTTCTGGCCTCATGCGGCCAGGGCGCATATGGTGGCTGGACACTTGTATGGCTGCGGCCAAACATGCACTCATCGTCATCCTCGCATGAAATACAGGACCCTCGGACTCCGGTTGTTTGAATAATCAATGATGCCACCATCATGGTGCCTGGCACGGGGACGCACAGAAGGAGACGACGACGACATAACAATGCAGCCGCTAAGACGACCAGAAAAGAACAAATGATCAAATTTAAGCTCAGTGCAAGCCGGCGCACCGCAGTGGTGTGGTTGTTGCGCGCCGACGGCGCCTGCCCGTTTGGGTGAACCTGGGGGAGCCCGTCTCCCCGATGATCGCGCAACATATCCCTGTCCCGTCTTGCTGCCTCCCCGTCTGCCTCGTGTCCGCTCTTCTGCACATCTTCGCCTGTCCTGCAATCGCAACCTCTCTGACTGTCTGTCTGTCCGTCCGCCCGTCCGTCCGCCCGTCTGCATGTCTGGCTGTATGTCGGTATATAGGTCTGTATGAACTTGTATGAATGTGTATGTCTCTCTCTCTATATACACATGTCTTTCAGTCTGTGTATGTCTGTCTGTATGCCTGTATGTCTGTCTCCATCTCTCTCTCTCTCTCTCGCTCGCTGGCTGCATCTCTCATCTCGGAAGGCTCTCCGTCATCCACCTCTGGAAAAAACGCATGACGCAAGGATAGGCAACGAGTGATGAATGGGAAGAGGAAACAAGGAAAAAAGGAGAGGGAGGGGAGGTACAGATGTGTGAGCAGAAAGAAGGGGACAAAAGGAAAGGAATGAAGCAGGAAAGGAGTGGTCGGAAGCGGAACTAGAATACAAGAAGGAAAGGTGGGGACACGAAACGCAGGAATGCCAACACATTCCGCCTTAGTGGTGAGGCTCAAACTCTTGATCGCTCTCAAGTTGCCCAGCATTCCCATAGTGATGCCACCGCACGGCGGCCAGTAGGGCCCAAGAAGCGTCGAAGACTGCATCAAGGGGCTCTGAAGAGAGGCGCAAGACCGAAACAGCCGAGGAGGGCCACCAGACGGGGTTGGAGGCGTAATGCGGGCCCGCGCTTGCAACCAACAAGAAACGATCACCTCTAGAGGGGGTATATATATATAGAGAGAGAGAGAGAGAGAGAGAGAGAGAGAGAGAGAGAGAGAAAAAAAAAAAAAAAAAAAAAAAAAGTGAGATGGAAGAAAAAACATATAGAGAGAGATGAAACAAAGTCATGGATACACAGCGGGGGACAACTAGGGAGAGCGAGAGAGGGAACGAGAGAGAGAGAGAGAGAAACAGAAAGACAGAAAGGGACACAAAACTACAATGACAGAAAACAAAGCAATACAGAAACAGAGACATATAACACGATATATATAAGTAGAGAGAGAGAGAGCGGCATATGAGGTGACATCGCAGGTCCCCCATATCCTGGCCAACATAATCTTTATTGGTTCAGCACGAATCCTTATTTAAAACAACTCAATCGATACACACATACTGAAGATATGTTTACAGGACAAACAAATACGGATACAGACCCTTAGTATACTAACTGTACCCGGAATAGAAAGGATAATTGCCCGGGGGCCCTTTTTTACCAATGAGTCCGTATTGAAGAATGATTGGCGAATGAACCCTTCAGGGAACACCCTCGCGAAAACAATCTCGGCAAGGAATCCCTGGCTGGAAGACAATTGCTGAATCAGTGCTTGGTTTACTCATATCCGGTGTGCAATAAACATTGCGAAAATGCGCAGTACAAATCCGTTGCCAAGAACACCCGATCCATACCCAGTGTGAACGGAACGCGTGATACACGAACCCTTACCGAATGCATCTCCAGTACACGTACCTGATGGGCTGAAAAAGTCCCAACAGCCCTTCAGTCTAAGGTGGTTTTGCGACATTATATGTGCCATGACCCTCTTCCATTCGGGGAGGGGCGCCCCCTTTGTTGTGTTTTCTTCGGGCGGGCCGCGATCGGTCGGCCAGGGCGCCCAAGATGGTTTCAAGCGGGCCTCCGATGCCCCCCCCCCGCGGCTCAAAATAACCGAAGATGGTTCCATTAGCTTGGGACATAACCCGAAAAAGGCCCGACGTGGACCACCAGACTTCCAAGTACCCTCGGAGCCCCCTCAGGACCCCCAAGCAGGCCTACACCCTTTAAACACATAAAGCAAATCAGTGATGCGTGCCTCAAACTTCAAGATTGCCCCGGGCTGGCCCAAAAAACACCCCACGAGGGGCGCAGGAGAGCCCCGAGCCGGGCCCCACAGGCCCCACGACGGCCCAAAAAGCGCCCCAAGGGACGACTTCGACGGTTCCTGCGGGAGGGGGGGAAACCGGGGGAGGGGGGCTGATAAGGGACCACCTTTCCTTTGATCGATGGCCTCCAATATGGCCTCCAGGAGCCATCCAGGGCTCTCCGGGGCCCCCAGGTGGGCCCCGAAAGCACGCAACAGCGCGACAAAGAAACAGTTTGCCTCCTCCCCCTCCCGAAAGTCTGGTAGAAACCTCTCTCAGAGAAGGCAAACTAGCATGTGGGCCAAACGCCAACGGGGCGAGCCCCGCGCCGCAAAATGCCAAACTGTTGAACATGCGCTCCAGCCTCGCCCAGTCGCAGCGCCAAGTGCAACCCGCCCCCCCCCCACACGCCCCCCTCGTCAGTGTTTGCCGAGCGAAGCGACGGGGGGGAAGAAGACAACAAACGGGCTGGATGACAGGTGACCCTGAAGCTTTCTGAGCGGCCAGCGGCAGATGTGTCCAACCTGCCAAGGCGCGCGAATGTGAATTCAGAGCATGTGCATGATGAAGTAATGAGAAACATAACTCGCGCAAGCGAACGGCAACTATGTTTGGGGCGGAAGCGCGCACAGGGCCGCCTAAGACGCGATGCGAGATTTGCACCGAGCCGCGCAACATGGTTAGCATCTCCTGTAACATGGAATAAGCATCGCGTGGGCGAGCACCTGGATCTCAACTGGTTTTGAAGTCGAATCTCCGGCTACACGGCACGCGATGATATCTTGGATGTGGACTTAGCCAAGAATCCGTGAAAGTGCCAGCTCGTGCCCTCCGAAAGCGAGGCGTTGCCTGGTACCTCGCATTTGCGTGGGCGTGCTTTCTCTGCTTACGTACCTAGAGCATATGCGACATTCCCATTGGCTCCTACTTTGATAACTTTGATGCCACCTCGCCGTGTCCGCTCCTGCATCAAAATTTGCCAGACTTCACATTGCCTGGCCTTTCCGAATCCGCGCCTGCTCGCAATGGCAGCGGCTGCGCTCGCATCGCACTTCGATGACATCCCCCAACCGATCTCGACGTCCGTGAAACGCGCTTGAAGGCCATTCGGCGCAGAGGCCCCTTGAACAATTTCACAACACTCCGCCGACCCAGCAGACAGTACAACGACACCTTGGGCCGAACTCCATGACTTTATCAAATGTGGCCCCCGCGTAGCTGTTCCTCCACTCGTTGATTTGCGCATCCTTTTGCGCCCTGCATGGCCGGCGTCTGCCCGCGGAGTTAACTCCGCGGGCCCTCCTTGACCAAAATGCAGATCCCCGCACCTGCCGCGGCTCTTCAAGAAATTGTACGTTGTGTAACTCCCCCTAACATATGACTCGCGAGCTCCTTGACTACGGACTGCATGTCCGAGCGGCCCCGTGCAAGCCTGGGCCGCCGAGGTTTGGCATTGCCTGACTTCGATGCTTGGGGGGGGGGGGGGGGGCGCCTCGCCCCCCCGCGCAAGCTTGCTTTCCGCCTGGAATTTCGCATCGACCTCGTTCTGCTACGGGCCCAACTCCTTGGCGAATCTCACCGCGCGCCTCTGATCCGCCCAATCCCATGGCCCGTGCTGGCTCTATTCCACCGTTTAATGAGGGCACTGTTCGACGCAAACCCACTGGCCCAGGTCCGAGTCTGCCTCGGCTTATAACTTCGACCCCACCTAGAATTTCACTCTTGAACCAGCCAAGGCCAACATCACTACCCACGAAAGGAAGAACAACCCGTTCACAATTCGCCAGATTCGCCCTGCTACGTTTGAATATGCATGGCGACGCTTTCCCGTTCTCTGAAACCGATATCACATGCCACATCCTCTCCACATCCCACGATGTGTTGGGCGGCGTTTCGGGTTCCACGCGTCGGTTTCAATGACCGCTCACGCGCGCCCAGCTCGCGATCTTCTTCGGGTAACGAAATGAATATGTTCTGTTTGGCCGATAATATGCGCGTCTAGCGTCTATAGGTGCAAGCGCCAACAGTTTCTCGCGCCACGCGCGATCATGCTCTACCCCCTCGGTGACAGCCGTCGAGAATCACAGTTCCTGGGCCAGTGGAAGCGCGGCAGCGAAGATGTTCTTCTCCGTGGAGTCGCCGTTAACTTGCCGGGTTGGGCCGCCAGCCAGGATCGGCGCTAGAGTTTGGCCGCGCCCCCCCCCCCCCGTCGACGTCGACGACCTCGTGCCGGCGGGGGCCATGTCGGCAACCGCCTAGCACATCTCATCATTTACGCCCTCGTAGACCTCGCGTTCCTTGAATTCCCCCCCCCCGGGCTTAGTGCGAGCGCTGGATCAAGCTTCCCTCCCGGCGCATCGCCCCGCGGCTGTGCTGTTCCACGTTCGCGACGAACTGCGCGCATGTCACCTCTGGGAACTGGCTGCGCCTCATCGACGCCCGCGCATGCCTCGCGCGACCCTGGGGCTTGCAACCGCCCCTGGAGTTGGCGCGCTCCGCAGATCCATTGGCGAGGCTGGATTTCTGCTTCATCGCCTGGTTCACCCCCGCTGGCCACAGGGTCGCAAGCCCCGGAAAAGCGCCCCGATCAATCGCCCGCCGTCATCCGGCTAACTAGGCCCAAATAACAGATTCGGCCCGGAAATACATCTGACCCCATCGTTCAGCCTGCCCCAGTGAACTCGACGCGTCGACGCTTACCTCGACGCGTCGCACGGGGGGCAGTTCCACTGTTGAGCGCCCCCTTCGCCGCCCCCCTCCGCCGCAAGTCGCGGCGACGCAGATCGCCGTTCTGCTGGCCGGTGCATCGTGGAACATGCGGCTCAGGTGTCTCGCGCGCCTTCTCTTTGTTTTACCCTTTCAGTGGGACATCACAAGGCCGATGTAAGTGACCCTTAGGAAGGGGGGGGCCGCTGAGCTGGGGGAGGACGGAAGGTGCGAGACGGAGGAGGGCGAGGAGATAGAAGCGGGGGAGGCAGAAGGCGGATGGGGAAAAAGGAAAAAAGGAGGAGGCCGAAAAAGAAAGGACTAGGAGAAAAGGGGGGATTTTTCCCCCATACGTGATG